TTTAAAAAGGCTACTAATAAAATGTAGTGTAATAGTCCAAGTCAAGTAGTGTCATCCATTTGAGAATTTGATGACTGATAAAGAGGGCAGAGGTTAAGGCCACCGACCTTCTTGTTAAGGTCATGAGTATTTTTTTTAGGTCACTAATTTTATTTTTAATTTTATTAACTTATAATTTTTTTAGACAGTTAAAAAAGTATAATATTTAAAAATATTTATTAATAAAATAATTTCAATTTATTAAATAATAAATATTAATTATTTTTAATAATTAAATTAAATTAAAATTTTAACAACTTTAATAATTGTCATAAAAATAATAGTAAACTATAATTATGGCCGATGAAGAGATGAGTACAGTGACCGCCGGTACGGATTGAATATATAATGGATCGAAGATGAGATTGTTGGCAATGACAAAACCAAGTCATACCATTGACTAGGGCTAAATACCTACTTTAGCCCTTCATCTTATCAAATTTGTAGGTTTTAACTTATCATCTTATACTATAACACTTTTAACCTCTCATCTTACTAGATTTATAGGTTTTATCTCCTCATCTATTAAAATCAAAGAAAATAACCATCACTTTATACTAACTGTTAACTCTATTAATTGAAATTAAGTTTTTGTCAACTAACAGTAAATTTTTATCAACTAACTATAAGTTTTTTATTAATTAACTATCAACTAATAGTAAGTTAATTTAATGAACGAACTATTATAAAATTAATTATGTTAACTTTATTAGTTAAAAAAAAGTATTTGTCAGCTAATAATTAACTAATAGTTAACTAATAAAATTAATAATCAACTAACAAAACTAACAAAATGTTACAAAATTAGGGTTATTTCTTTCAATTTTAATCTGTGATGGGTTAAAAATATCATAATATAAAGTGATAAACTAAAACCTACAAATCCAATAAGGTGAGAGGTTAAGGATATTATAGTATAAACTGAAGGGATAAAACCTTTAAATTTAATAAGATGAGGGGCTAAATGTAAGTTTTTGCTATTGACCAAAGCCCACTGATTTTTTTATAATATTTTTTTCAATAGGTGGGGTTTACACAGAAAAATTGAGAATTACAAAAAATCTTATGGGAGAGGGATAGACCATGTACTTGTCCCCTCCCCAACGTGCATCTCCCCCATAATTGGTTGGCAATAAAAGAAAATTCAAATCATTTAACATACTAAAAAAACATAAAAGAAGATGCAAATGTGAATGAAAAATACCGTTACGCTGAAGGAATCTTAAGTATGGGTAGGTACGGTTCAATTTTAGTTATAATTAAAATTAAATTATCAATTATTTAAAATTTTATGTTTTAAATTTTAATAACTATTAATT